GCCCGCAAGATTTGTGTCTCCCATCCTTCGTCTGTGCAGGCCGTCAACAGGCTTATTAGGGCTCTCGCCCCGGATCATTTCTTTTCCAGTTTTGTCATTATTTCAGGTGTGCATTCTCCTCGCCATCAGGATTGCATGAATGCCTGTGCACCCAACATCGTGCTCCCCCTCACCTCTTTCACTGGGGGTGAGCTGCATGTCTCCAAGGTCGGTGCCCCCACTGCTGACCACGTTCCGCTGGCGACGCAGTTCGTGGACCTTCCGGTGGCGTCTGGCCCGGTCTCGTTCAACGCCAGGGATTGCCCTCACGAGGTGTTGCCCTCCAAGGGGCTGCGTGTTGTCGTTGCGGCCTACACTTTGCAAGCTGCACTGCATCTTGACTCACATCCCGCGCTTCGGGCTTCCTTGACTGCGCTTGCATTCCCTCTGCCACCTGTGGACTTCGTGTACTCTCCAGAGGATTTGGCTCCGCGCGCGCTTCCGCTGTCGCCTAGCCAACGGGAACGGGCTCTGCTTCCATCGCCTATGGCTGCGGTCGGGTCCTCGGCACCTTCTGCATCCGCTTCTGCCACTGCCCAGCCCTGCGATGGCCGCTCGAAGCACGACACCTTGCTGGGTCCATGTCATCTTCTGCTCCCACTCCAAGGCTTTTCTTGGACTTGTTTGCGGGGGCTCGTGCGCCAGTCACCTCGGCCATTCAATCTCTTCGGTGTGACTGTTTTCCTCCAGTGGACTTGATCATCGATGCATCCCGCGACATCTTGGACGATGCATTCTTCGATCTGCTTTGCCGCATTGCTGATTCGGGTTTGGTCGGCGCCGCTCTTGCGGCTCCTGTTTGCTCCAAGCATAGCATCTTGCGGCTACGTCCTGGTGGCCCGAAGCCTTTGCGCGACTTTGAGCATCCCACCGGACGTCCGGATCTGAATTGGGACGACTCCACGCAACTCCAGGAGAGTGCATTGCTACACGACCGCACACGACTTTTGCTCTCCCGTGTCAGTGCCGCTGGAGGTTTGATCATTCTGGAGAACCCTGCTTCTTCTCTTACATTTCACGATCCGCTCATGATGAGCTGGATCGAGTCCGAGGCCCCCTTTTGCGCGCAGGCGGCTTCGTGTATGGTTGGTGCATCCTTCTCCAAATCTTGGATGTTCGTTTCCAATCAGCCCTGCATCTTAGATTTGGCTTGCATTTGCACGCATGCGCCCGGCACTCATGCGTCCTTTGTGGGCAAACGTGATGGAGCGGGTTTTCTCAGTCGGCGCACCGCTGAGTATCCCGATACACTGGCATCATCGCTGGCGCGTTTGTGTGCTCCATTTCTGACCGACTTGGGCACTTGCAGCGACTTCTCCCGCTGGCGTGCATTGCTTCCGTTGGATCCAGATTGGATCATGCATCCCTGCAGGGTCGAGGACGGTGGTGGCGCCACCAGCACTGCATGTTGGCTTCGGCCTCCCTCTGATGACGTGTTGCACGACCTTCGACATCGGTGGTCCCACCGGCTTTTCGACACAGGTCTCTGCATGCGCATCGCCGCACATCTCCAGCTTGCACCGAAAGAACCTCCTCTTTCCGATGCTGAGGTTGCTCCATTCCTGCAGGACATCTTCAACGTTTTTCAGGTCCCGCCGACTTCCCAGGAGGATCTTCTCTTCATCGCACCTGGTCAACCTCTGCGCTTGCGTCTCCTGAAGTTCCTGCTTTCTCAGCTTCAGGACTCGGAGGTTTCCCTTTGCGACCAGTTGGAGTCTGGTGTCTCTCTGGGAGTTGGCTCTGCATTGGAGCCCTCGCAGCACTGGCCTGTGCGTGATGCGGAGCATGTTATGCCTGCGTTGCATATTTGCGAAGGTGCCTGGCAGTCCGCTGAGAGCCACCCTGACATTGTTCAGGCTTTGCTCGAGGAAGAATTGCAGGAGGAGTGGATCTCCGAGTATGCATCGCTTGATTCTATTCAGTCTGAGTTTCCGCAGGTTGCATTAGGTCGGTTGGGTCTAGTGCTGGCTGAAGGCAGGTCGGCCCGCCTCGTGGTGGACTCCAGCATCAGTGGCTTTACATCGTCCTCCACCATTCCTAACTGCATCTCAAACCCTCGGATTGAAGATGTGTTGGCGTGTGCTCCATCTTACGTGCCCTCTGACCCCTGGGTGGGTGC